AATTGACTCTGAGTTTTTTTCATCAAGAGGAAAATATTATTATACATGGCCAACAACCCTCAAATTTTTTGCAACAAATTTCAGGGGCTACCCTGCTAAAAATGACAGCCTCTGATTATGCTATTTTGGGCCATGTGGTGTTGTTATCTATGTTTGAAGATTCAAAGACTATTCCTGAAGCTCTACAACCTCTCTTGAATAAATATCAGTATGTGTTTGCTGAACCTACAGATCTACCACCTACAAGGAATCATGATCATGCCATTCCTTTAAAACCTGAGTTTGCTCTTATAAATTTGAGATCTTACAGATTTCCACATAATCAGAAGGAGGAAGTGGAAAAACAGATAGCTACCATGCTCTCCTCTTCTATTATTCATCCTAGCAAAAGTCCTTTTTCTTCTCCTTGTCTTCTTATAAAGAAAAAGGATAGGACTTGGAGATTTTGTGTTGATTACCGAAAACTAAATAGTAAGATTGTGAAAGACAAGTTTCCTATTCCTGTTGTGGAGGACCTCTTAGATGAACTACATGGAGCAGTTTACTTTTCAAAAATTGATCTCAGGTCTGGTTATTGGCAAATCAGAATTAAGGCTGAGGATATTTACAAAATAACATTCAGAACTCATCAGGGTCATTATGAATTCAAGGTAATGCCTTTTGGGCTTACTAAATCCCCTGCTACATTTCAAGCTCTAATGAATAACTTGTTTAGTTCATTTCTTAGAAAATTTGTTTTGGTATTTTTTGATGATATCCTAGTCACCTCTATGAAGGATCATATTAATCATTTGGAACTGGTTTTAGAGATATTGCACACTAACCAGTTATTTGCCAAGTTGTCCAAATGTTTCTTTGGACAAACTCAGGTAGATTATTTGGGTCATATTATATCAGCTGCTGGAGTTTCAACTGATCCTACTAAGGTGGAATCTATGAGGAATTGGCCTATTCCTAAATCTTTAAAATCTTTGCATGGCTTTTTGGGATTGACAGGATATTACAGGCGATTTATAAAGGATTATGGAACAATTAGTAAGCCATTGACACAAATGCTTAAGAAATATAGTTTTACTTGGAGCAGTGAAGCTTTACATGCTTTTGAAGACTTGAAACAGGCCATGTGTACTGCTCCAGTTCTAGCTTTACCAGATTTTGGTAAGCAGTTTTATTTGGAAACAGATGGCAGTTCAGGAGGCATTGGGGCAGTTTTAACTCAGGAGGTCAGACCTATTGCTTACCTTAGCAAGGGTCTTAGCCCTAGACATGCTGCCCTCTCGATATATGAAAGAGAGTACTTGGCTATTCTACTAGCAGTCTCTAAATGGAGGCATTATTTAGAGATCACTCCTTTTATAATCAAGACAGATCATGAATCTCTTAAATATCTGTTGGAACAAAAGTTGACTACTGCTATTAAAAAGAGGGGGTTGACTAAATTATTGGGCTTGGATTATACTATTTAATATAGAAAAGGTAAGTCCAACATAGTAGCTGATGCACTATCTAGACAATGGGAAGATCAAGCTCACTGTTTTGCAATGGGGACTACCTTGATTATTCCTAGTTGGGTTCAGCAGGTTGAGGAAAGCTATAAAGAGGATTCAGTAGCTACTGAATGGATTTCTGTCTTAACTGTCAATCCTAATGCAGATTCTAGATGGAAATACTCTAGAGGTATCCTTAGATATAAGGATAGAGTTTATATTGGTGTTGCTGGAGCTCTAAGATTACAAATTCTTCAAACCCTACATGATTCACCTCGTGGAGGTCATTCTGGAATTCAGGCTACTTATCAGAGGATTATAGCTTGTTTCTACTGGACTAAGTTAAAATCTATGGTGGCAGCTTACATCAGGTCTTGTTCTGTATGTCAACAGACTAAAGTAGAGCATGTTCCTAAACCAGGACTTTTACAGCCATTACTTATTCCTCAGTAGGCTTGGGAGGTAATCACTATGGACTTTATAGAAGGTTTACCTACATCATTGAGAAAGAATTGCATTATGGTATTGGTTGATAAATTTACCAAATACAACCATTTTTTAGCATTATCACACCCTTATTCTGCATCTGATGTGGCTAAACTGTATTTGGATAATGTCTACAAGCTTCATGGGTAGCCTAAGTTAGCCATTTCTGACAGAGACAAAAAACATTCACTAGTCTCTTTTTAGAGAGAACTAATGAAACAATTGGGGTCTAAAACCTTATTTAGTACTGCTTACCATCCAGAGACTGATGGTCAAACAGAAAGGGTTAACCAATGCTTGGAGCAATATTTAAGGAGCTTGTTTTTTTCAACCAAAGCACTGGGCTAAATGGTTGCCTCATGCAGAATGGTGGTATAATACTACCTACTATTCTGCCCTAAAGATCACACCCTTTCAAGCACTTTATGGGTACAAACCACCTACTATGGTTTGGTACACAAAACTAAAGTGCAGTCTGTCTATGAACTACTGCGTAGCAGAGAAGATATTCGAAGGCTATTTAAAGAACAACTTGAGATAGCAAGTAACGGAATGAAACAAAAAGCAGATAAACACAGATCAGAAAGAGTTTTTGAAGTGGGGGATTCTGTTTACCTGAAGCTGCAACCTTATCGCCAGACGACACTAGCCCTGAGAAAGAATTTAAAATTAGCAGCAAAATTCTATGGGCCATATAAGATTATAGAGAGAATCGAGGAAGTGGTCTATCGTTTGAGCTTACCTAAAACATCGAGGTTGCATCATGTCTTTCATGTCAGTCTTTTGAAGAAACATATTGGAGATTCAGTCGTTTCCTCTATGGACCCTCCTGCCATAAACACAGATGATCAGTTTCGAATCGAACCATATACAGTTTTGGGAAGACGAATCATTAATCGCCAAAACAGACCTGTGACTCAGTTGTTGGTACGGTGGATGAACCTTGATGAGAGACACATGATACGTGGGAGGATTATACTGTTCTTCGAGGCCAGTTTCCAGGCTTCGATCCTTGGGGACAAGGATCATCTCCAGCGGCGGGTATTGTCACGATCGGGAGAGAAGAGAGAAGAAAAGAATGAAGCGAGGGAAATGAAATCAAGGGTTAGGGATTGATAGAGAATTGGGAATGAGTACCTGATTAATGATCACGTGAGGAGCACGAGGAGTTAATTACCATCAGGAGAGCTGATTCCACGAGCAGCAGCAAGCCCAGTTGGTGGCCCTTTAGCTGAGAAAATAACAAACAGTTATTTGGAATCTACAGCTGGCATTAGTTAGATTTGCTGGTACCTTGTAAACAAATAAAACAGTACTGTGCAAAGAGACAATCAAGCATATTTTTGAATGAAAATCCTATTTCTGTATCTCTTTTCTGCTCTTTACTCTACGATTTCTTCTTCTCTATTTCCCTAATCTATCTTCTTCATCACACCCTCCTCTAAAAGGGATGAAAGGTTTAAAACACCAGTAGATACACCAAAAACTAGATTTTCGGAAGTTTCCGGACCTGATAAAAGAATCCGAAGTTGAAAATTCAGCTATTCTCTCTGGTAACCGTGAAAATTGGTGGGAGGAGGATGAGCCTAATGGAACTGGAGAAGAGAAACTATTGGATTCCAGTATTCATCACTGTCAGTCTTCACTGTCACGAAGAGAAGCTAGCATTCTGGATTAACATACACAATTCATTGGTGATGCATGTAAGTTTTCTCATCAATGAAAAGACTGCGGTTATAGCTTTGACCACCAATGCAATGTGATAGATTATATTCCGTCTTTCTTTCTTCCATAATAGGCATTTCTGGCTTATGGTATTCCACAGAACAAAGTGGAGACTTTTTCTACTGTTGAGGGTAAGGATAACCTATCTCATTGTCACTTCTCTTGAACTATGAAACGAGATTGGCATGCATTGTCTTATACTCTTGAACACATACAGGCTGCATATAACATTGGAGGTCACACCATCAGTGCAGATACAATACAGAGTTCCATTCTTGGATGTCGTATGTCTCGCCCAGGAGAGGTAGATCTCAAGCCTAATTTGTCTTGTCATCAATTTCGATTCTTTAATTACTTAAGATTGTTATAGACCTTGTAGTGACAAGATGATATTTCATATGAGATGCTTGAAGGCATCTAATTCTAGTTTTAATATTCACTATGTGCTTGATTTAAATCATGTTTTAAGGTGGTGCTTGATAAAACTTTCTCCTTTTATGTTGTGGCTTCGGTTATTACTTTCTTCAAGGGCAAAATTTAAACCAGGAGACAAAAAGCAGGCATATGCAATTGAACATCCAGAACCCCTTTTACACTTTGCACTCTGTTTAGGAAACCGTTCGGATCCGGCGGTACTATATTTTCTTTGATCTGTGTTTTTGCTTTATTATTAGCAGTTAGCACCAGTCGAAAACATTTTAATTTCCAACCTACATTTGGTTATTTCTTTAGGTACGTGCCTATACGCCAAAGAGAGTATTACAAGAGCTGGAAACTGCAAAAGAAGAGTACATCCGGGCTACGTTCCGTGCACGCAACAAAAAAATTCTGTTACCAAAGATTGTAGAGTCATTTGCAAAGAATTCGAGTTTGTGTCGGTCGGGTCTCATGGAAATGATCCAACAGTCATTGCCCGAATCACTTCGTTGTAGTATCAGGAAATGTCAGCAAGGGAAATCACGCAAAAGCATTGAATGGATTCCTCATAATTTTACCTTTAGGTACCTTATATCTAAAGAATTAGAAAGATGATCGAGTGTATGCATCAAGGTATGGTGCTTGAGCCTGATGCTGCTATTTGCAGGCATTTTCATTTTGGAATATTTTACATCTTAACTTGTAAAATGAGTAGAAATGAAAAGGAATACATTTAGATATGGCAGTGTGGCATCATTTGTAACATAGTTGTTAGTGTGCATTCTGGTTTGCATATAGTATTGTTTCGAGTTGTGTATTTCATAAACTACTAATTCTTATACTTTGAGCAATCAAATGGACTAGAAAACAAAGCAGAAGGAAACGCTAGTACTTACTAAGAAAGAAAACACTCAAGTCTTGTCCTAACCAATATGCAGGATCTACCAAATGGTAAGCCTCTGAACCATCTGAACCAACTATTCGCTCAAACTGGCCTCTCAAGTACTTGAATCCACCGGCGTCTGTACTACTGTTTTGAGGCAAAAACCCGGCTCCAGACGAGACCATCTGCATCATTTCAAGTACCCATTTCTCCTCCTGCCCAACTTTCAACCTTCTGGCAAAGCCTACCTTTTGTCCATTGCAATACGTTAGCCACCTTTGCGTGATACCTGAATCAGGGACAGGGTCCAGGACTATGCGGAGAACACCGCTGTCGATTGAACTGGTGAATTCTGTTGAGGCAAGGGGAAGTTCAATGAAGACCAAGGGATTGGCTTTTGTGTTTTCTTTCAAACAAAGCTTAATCTTTCTGGAATTTATGGGACAAATGATGGTGCCAGTGACCAGCGTTGCAGCACCAGGTAGACAGTGGGAAAATATTAATCCGTTTAATGATCTCAATGGCGCTAAAAGCTCCATAATTTGATTTAATAGATTCCTCAAGTGAGGCTGAGTATTCACCCTGGTGTCTTTACTCTCTTCCATCTATGATTTCATTGATTTGATTCGTCTATCCTAATAACAGCGTAGTGGAAACAAGGAAAAATGACAAAAGGATAAGGCAGTTACTTAAGATAAGAAGGAAGATTAAAGAGATAAGAATTGAGAAATTTTTGAAGCCTGAAGAGTTCTAAATGGAATCAAACTGTTCAACCGAGTAATATTCAGATATATATATAATTCAAAAACATATAAAAACAACAAATGCCAGTGTTATTTTGGATCCAAATTAAGGATATTACCCAGAAAAACATAGATCGGATCCTACAGGCAGCTATAAATATCTAATATGAATCTAGTATGGTCTTTCTCCTATATAATTTCCAGGAGGATTATAGAAACAAATTGTTACACCCCCAACCCGTATTCGACCCGAATACGAGTCCGAGGTGTCACATTGACTTTTCAAAACATTTACTTGTATAAAATAGTTAGTAATTTAAAACTTTTATAACATATAACTTATTCAAAACGTTTACAAAACTATTCAGAGCTTATACAATATATTCTTTTGAATACATGCCAACTAGAACTTTATATATTAAAATACATATTATTCACCTCTCTTCTAATATGACCTTCAATATGGAGAACTGACATGTCTTGTTCCACATTGCTCTTCAACTCTTCTTGAAACCTACGTGTAAATCACTTACATGCTAAGTCTATGACTTAGTGAGGCAATAAATATATAATGTAAACTATAACTTGTAATCATGCATGAACAATTACTGCTATCACATCATACCCAAACATATATCCATTCATATATCAAATCCACACATGCATATAATTATCTTCTTTCCTATCATTATCATATTATTACCATTCATATTTCTATTCTCTCGTTTATATTATCTATTATGTTCATATCATATATCTTATAACATATACAATAATCATTAACACACACATATATCATATCATATAATTCATATCACAAAACACACACACACACATATATATATATATATATATATATATATCATACATTGTATTCAATGTTATCTCTTATTAGCCCATGTACACTTGTGAGAACTATAGATATGTGAGTCTATTGAGGTTGTGCACTATACTGTCACCACAGCTCGTAAGGGGTCCCACTAGGGGGCTATGAAATTTTGTCCCAAAGGACCACTATGAAATATCCCGAAGGATCACTGTATGTCCCGAAGGACCGCGTAGACCCTCGACTCTTGGCATGCCAACTATACCTATAGCTCTCGTATCATATAACATGGGCATTTTCACTTATATCATTTCACATGTACACTTTCATATCACATATCATATAAGCTCATAGCTTCTTTCACATATACATGTAGTCACATAGCTTCTTTTCATATTCTCATAGGATCACATAGCTCGTATCTTATACTTTGTTTTCTCATGTTCACATATATCATGCCATATGGCTCATATCTTTCTCATGCAGTCACATAGTTCAGTTTCACATATGTTCATATATATACATCACATAGCACATACTTCTCATATCATTACATTCAAAAGAATGTTAACACATATAATCATGCATACATACAATTTATGTCATTCATATACTTATAATCATTTATTCATGCATTATAACATAGGAAGTAGACTTGTCGCAAGTATTGTTTCTATTTAGCACCATAAACGAACTAATATGCACTTACCTTGGCCTCACTAAGTTCTAATCCATTTTTATGATTTCCTTTCTTTTGATCAAATCTTAATTTGATGATCGTTCCAGAACTTGTTCGTGCTCGATATCTACATAATCATAATTTCCAAGACGATTATTAAAAGCTTAAACCTTATAATTCGATGCTAATAACTTAAACTAATTCATTGAACTATAATTTACTTTTTCCTTTAGGTGTGCATCGATACACTATGAATGCATCGGTACACAAATTAGGTTCAAAATTCCCATGCATCGATTCACCCCTTAATGCATCGGTGCACCCCTTAATGCATCGGTGCACCTTCAAAATTTATCTTAGTGCATCGGTACACACTCATAGTGCATCGGTACAACTTTTCATTAAATTTCCTCATATAAAACTCCTTTTCTACCCCTAAACTCAGCTACAACCATTTTAACTAACTTTTATTATTCCAATACCTTATTATCTCCCATATCTCATCCAAATTCTTAAAGCTAAGAATCTTACCAAATTTTTAATATGTTCTAAATTCAATTCTATACTTCATATCTCTTAATTAAGTTGATGACAAGTCAAATTTATCTTCCAATTTGAGTAATGAACTATATTCCAAGATTTCATTTGAAAACTCTTAATCTTTAATCTCTCCTAACTCCACCATCCTTTGCTTTTAAGATGATTTGAGCTTTCCATCCTTTGCTTTTAAGATGATTTGAGTTTTCTTTAAGCTTAATTATCATCCAATGATCATAAACCAACCTTGAATTCAACAAGAAATTAACTAATAAGAGGACTTACCTTTGCATCCTTGGTTCACGATGGAGAGAAAGAAGAAATATGAAGAGAACTCCGGAACTCTCTTTTCCCTCTTCCCACGTGGTTTCCTTATCTTATAAGGGAAAATAAAAATCTTCCTTGTCAAATGACCATTTTACCCTTTATTTCATTTAATAATTACCAACAATCCCTAAAAAATATTTACAAATAAGTCCATGCACTTTACAATCTTTTGAAATCATACTTCAAAGTTTCAAAAATTCCATTTTAGTCATTAACCCTGATTTTGGAATATTACACAAATGGTTAAACTAATTTGGTCCTTGCATGTTGCTTTAGAGTTCTTCCAAACCACTTGCTTATAAACTCCACACCTATGATTTGGTGCACAAGAATTGCTAGCATAATCGTAGCAAATCTTCTCTTTCAACCATGTGCCCACCGCCGTGCGTGGCGTCATTGCTGCTCCACTCCCCATTATTGGTTTGCTCCATACTTGTGATCTTTCAGGTTCGCAAACTGACAACCCATTTTGTTCCTCTGGTATCCCGCGAGGAGAGCTGTGACATTGGCTAGTTGAGCACTCCACTTGAGTGGTCCGACCCCAACTGCGGCTCTTGCTTGATTGTGTGCTCCCATGAATTCCCTGGCTGCGCTTGGCAACGTCGATGGAGCCATCGAGCCAGGGCTTGCCAACGCAGATACACCCTGGACTGTGTTATGGCTAATGACTAGAACTAGGACTGTCACTGCAACCAAGAGGATGGCCATTTCTCTACAGTATATAGTATGAAGCAAGTGATGGTTAAGTGTTATATAGAATGGCCATTATTACATCACACGTTAAACGAATTAAGACCGTTTGTGATTTGAGGACACAGTCCGAATCGACCCGTGTCGTATTCTTGATTTTTGTAAGTAAAATCTATTAATTTAAATTTTTTTATATATGTACAAACTCGAACTCGAGATTTTATTTAATCGATAGATTTTGATACAGTCAAGTTTATCAAGTACCATGAGGCAGAGGCGTGGGAAGTGGGAAATGGGGACAATGTGTTGTGGGAGAAATGGCATTAGGTCAGCTTATGCCACTGGAAAAGGGTGGAGTTCCATGGGGATCAGTGCCATTTATTTTTGTTTAATCAAAGTTTATTAACATCTAATCATCTTGATTAATTGAAGAGTTTGGATTTATTTTTATAAACTTTGCGATTTGCACGTGACCTTGTTGACATTGATCTGTGTCTCATTCTCACAGTTTGCTCCATGTGGTTCGCGTTTAATGATTCGTTAACTTGATGATTTTTTATCATCTATTTGTTTGTTTAATAGTGATTACTTGGTTTTTTACTGCATCTTGTAATCTGATCCCGAGATTAGGTAATATCATTTTATCGTATAATTTTACGGTACAACCTAAAATTTAAGATTAAAATACGATAGAAATCAAATGTGATTAAATTTATTATTATAAAACATGACATTTTAAATTGAACGCAACTTAAAATTTTCAGTTAACAATTGTAAATATTATTTTTTTGTAACATTTTAGTTTATGTCAAACCTAAAATATTATGCTTTTATTAACATTTTCAATCACGCTTAATTTCTATATATTTTTAATCTTTAAATTAATCTATCGATTTTTTGCTTTTTTCATTTTTTTATCATATCTGTTTTGGATTCAATTTATTGAAATACTTTATGTCACATAATGGTAGATGATGACTTTAATTTTATTTTCAAATTATTTAATTTAGTTAAAGATAAAATAAATATTTAATGCATTCATGTATATAATTTTAGGGTAAAGTACACAAATGGTCAAATGGTCCCTTGACTATAGAGTGTTTCTTAGATTATATTTTATCATATCTCAGTCAATAAGTTAACGTTTAGTTCAGATAGTTGTCATTTTTTAACGAAAAAGGGCGAAATTAGAACATATGAATAGTTGGGTAACAATTTTGTAACTTTTAATAATCAAGGGACTCAACAAAACAATGTCCTATAGTCAGAGATCATTTTATAACTTTTAATAATTGGAAACTCAACAAAACAACATTCTATAATAGATGATCATTTGTATACTTTACCCATAATTTTATGTGATAATACATAATTAAACCAAAGGGATAAAGAACTTGGTTCCTCTCATAATTTCATCCTAGTTCCATCCTTGAATACAAACAACCAAAAGGGCTTGTGGCAACTGATAATTGAATTAAGAAAATAATGGAGAAGTTAAAATCCATAAATCGATTCAGTGATACAAAATAATTATATTATCTTATGTGTGGATTCAAATTCTAATATTTATTTTTAAATGTATTATCTTTCTTCTTAATAAAAAAAATGTGGTGGGGGAGTTAACACACTGCAAGAAAGGGCAACAATAATAGTAGCATTGGCCTCCGTGATTGAATTAATAATGGTTCATCAAGATGGCTACTTTTCTAAACAAACTGAAATACCAATCAACAACTTTTACAATTAATCACATTTCCGGAGAGAAATCTTACATGAGGTGGAAGGGTTTGGAGTTACTTGAGCAAAGGTCAACGCTGTAAGTTGGTAGGCCTGAGCTAGCTTTGATGGCTAGAGCACACAAGTCCGGCAAGGAAAGAGGTTTATGGGAATCGGAGAGCGGCATCAGGAAGTAAATTCTTCCAGGTTGGAGTTCCTCATCGTCGGGGACTTGGGGCACGCATCTGCCGATGGTCATGGATTCCGAGCTGCAAAGGAAGCAATTTGGGTTCTGGGATATGATCTTCTTGGCTTGGATCGGTTGCTTCAACTCTTGAACACGTCCATCCATGTCCACAACCTTGGTGGGTGTCGATGACCCTCTTCCTCCTCCTCCGGCACCTTTCACTAATTTCGAGTTCAAGGTTGACGAAGCACAGGCACCCATCTTGGCTTTTTCTTCTTTTTTTCTGCGTCGGGAACGGGTAGTGTTGAGTATTGGTTGCATTTATATTGTCAGGTTTTGGCCTTACTAAATCTTGCTAATGTGCACGGATAGCATATATATAATGCTACCAATTATAAAATCAAGAGAAAAAAACAAAGGCAATAAGATGATCTATTTATTTATCTTATAATAAGAAATGAAAATTTGATTCATTTGTAAGTTTGTACGATTAATCGCATTTCTTTACTCTTCATGGTGATAATTAAGAGGCGAATCAATATTGCCTCCTTTCCCAGCAACAATTGTATGAAATGATTTTCTTTCAGGCAGACAAGTTTTCCTTTTTTATGTCCGTTCAATAAAGTGAAGGTGATAGCTTCGGCTGTTTTAATTATTAAGTTGGATTTAAGCAAAGCAGATTGCCAACCTGTTTACATGAAAACATGTGAAGTTGATTTAAGCATTGCTGGAATTAAGTTACAGAAGAATTTGAATTCTTGATCATACAACCAACCTTGCCGGCTATATGTATTTATGAGAACCAACTCCCATTGATTAATGCTGATAATACACTTGATTTCAGCTTCATCAGAAAATTGTGCAGCAAATTGCCATATAAAATATATCATAGCAATGCACTACACTGTCTCATCCTACTGGAACATTTTGTAAACTGCATAGCTGAAGAATCTCAGTCCTTACATTTTTACAGAACACTCAGAGGTGTCTGGGCTCATTGTCCGTATAACACAGCCAACAAACACCTATATTCGGCATACCCCTACTAACAAGCAAGTCTTTAGAGAGACGAATAATTTATTTTAGAGAAGACAAACTTTTAAAAGTTTAAGGGGTTATCTTATAAAATTTTATGGACGAAAATAAATTATTAATTGAAAATATAAAGAAAATATCTAAAATATATGATAGATTGAAATTTGCAGGGATGCGACTACCTCCACCTATGAGTGTTATTGAATAGAGCGTTTGACGAATTGTTCATGAACCATACATTTATTAAGCTAAATAAACGAGTATAAATAAAATTTTTATGTTTATTTAATAAACGAACGAACATAAATATATAGGTGTGTTCGGTTTGTTTATATTCATAAACAAGCTCATTATTATTTCGTTTATTGTCTCGTTTATAAGCTCCTTTATTGACTTATTTATAAGCTCCTTTATTGACTCATTTATAAGCTCCTTTACTCAATCCTCCTTTTCTTTTTCTTTTTATATTTTAAATATTGACGAGGATAGAGATTAAATCGAACATAAAGTGAACATTGGAGTTCAAATTGTAAAGCCTAAAGAAATTAAGGACTTTGCCATTTTTTACTTGTAAATAAAAGATGAAAAGACTGTTGGTTGCCAAACATTAAACAAAAGGTAAATTAACATATTCACGAACATTAAATGAATATGTTCGCAAATGTTAAACAAAAATGTTCACGAACATTAAAAAACATGTCCGCAAACGGTAAACAAACACAAACACCTTCAAAAAAATAAATAAATAAACACAAACATGATACTGAAATTTAAACGAATATGAATCGAACATGAACACTTTTAAAAATAAATAAATGAACACAAACATAATTTTATTCATTCAAGTTCGGTCCATTTACATCCCTATATTTCACCCGCTTCTCCTCGAACTCTATCCTTAGTTGAAAGACCACAAGCGAAACGAGATCACTTAACCCCTATTCTCGATGATCTCAACCCTGGAATCGTAGCACCGGAAATTCAGATAGCCCACTTTGAACTCAAACCTGTGATGTTCAACATGCTCAATTTTATCGATCGATTTAGTGGCTCGCCTAATGAAGATGATAGACAGCATGTGCGTGAAGACATGCTGAAGTTAAAATTGTTCCCCTACTCTCTGCGTGACCGCGCAAGAGCTTGGCTTAGTGGAGTTCCATCTGGCTCAACGGAGTCTTGGGCTGACTTGTGCAAAAATTTTCTGCTTCGATATAATCCGCTTAACATGAACACCTAGCTTCATAATGACATTGCAAGTTTTCGCCAAGGTGATGATGAATCTATGTACGAGTACTGGGACTGATACAAAATTTTGCTTCGCAAGTGCACCAACCATGGATTCCACGATTAGAATCAAGTTGTAATGTTCTATAATGGAGTCAACACACCCACTCGTACGATATTAGATGCCTCGGCGAATGGTACTCTGCTTGACAAATCACCTGAGGAATCCTTTAATATCCTTGATAGGATAGTCAACAACGATTATCAATTCCCATCTACAAGGGCTGGAACTAGAAGGAAAGTGTCTAAGGTGTTTGAACTTGACGCCAAAGATAGTCAACAACGATTATCAATTCCCAACTTTCTTCCATAACAAATATGTTAAAACATTTGCAGCGTTCCAGCAAGGTGAAAAAAGTCAAGGTAACTAGCTCAGCATGTATTTTTTGTCGTAGCAACCATCATGAGAGAGTGAATGCCCAGAAAAATCAGGAGTTTATCAATTTCGTGGGCAATTTTAATAAAAGCAACAACAACCACTACTCTAATACCTACAATCTGGATGGCGATAACATCCAAATTTTTCGTGGGGTAATCAAGGGACCAACAACAACCATGCAGGCAATCTTAACAGGCCACAGTAAAATATTTCTGAACCTACAAATTTTCAACATCAACAGATGCCCTGGCAAAATATTAACAAGGGTTCATCATCTTATTCAAATTCTAATTCCCTCGAAGCTTCACTGAATGATTTTATGATCTCGACAAAAGATTTCATGGCTTTAATAAAGGCTTTGATGCATGAACACTCGTCAACAATCAAGAACCAAGGCACTCTATTGCAAAGCCAAGCAACTTTATTACAAAGACATAGCTCATCTTTAAGAGCGTTAGAGAACGAAGTGGGCCAAATTGCCATGTCATTACATTCTCGCCCGCAAGGAAGCCTCTCTAGTGATACTGAGGTCACTAAGCCTCATGGAAAAGAGCAATACAATGCGCTTACACTGAGGAATGGCCCCTAAATTAATCTGAAATATAAGTTTGGGGGAAGAAGAAAGACATTTCTCGCCATGACATTACAATAGAAGAATCTAAAAGTCAAGATGGAATTGTTGAACAATACGAGTTGTCTTAAGAGAAGGAAAAGGACGAGGGTTAAACAAGTCATCTTATTGATGGAGAAAAATTTATTGTCATGGAAAAAGTTTCACCCCCACCTGCAACAGATGAAGTCAGGCCCCCTCCAACCTTCCCTCAACGATTGAAGAAACATAACAAATAAATCCAGTTTAAAAAGTTTGTTGATGTCCTTGATAAACTATATATCAACATTCCACTGCTTGAAATCATTGAGCAGATTTCTAACTATGCCAAATTCTGGAGGGACATTGTCACAAAGAAGAGAAAGGTGGAAAAACTAGAAACCGTTGCCACAACGAAGGAATATTGTTTTGCACTTAGTAAACTTCCGCCAAAACAAAGAGATCCTGGTAGCTTTGTTATACCATGATCCATTGGTGACAACTATGTTGGGAGAGCTCTATGTGACTTGGGATCCATCGTAAATATGATGCCCAAATCCATATTTTTGAAACTTGGAATGGGTAATGCTTAACTAACCACCGTAATTTGGTAACTAGATGACTGATCACATGTTCGTCATGAGGGCAGAATTGAATATGTTATTGTGAAAGTGGACAAATTTATATTTCCAGCAGACTTCCTCAGTCTAGATTGTAAGGTCGATGACAATGCACCTACTATTCTTGGGCTTCATTTCTTAGTCACTAGGCGCATCCTAATAGATTGTGAGAAATGAGAGTTCACGATGAGGGTGACTGATCAAAGCGTCACGATCATTGTCTTCAACACTCTTAAATACATGAATGATTTAGAATAATGCAATTACAATGAAGATGTTGATTCAATGGAGGGAGCTGGGACATAAATTTTTGGCCATGGCAAATTTTTACATCTAGACGAGTATAAAACTCTTGGACAAGATAATAATTTTCATATAGATGAGTGTAAAAATTTTGGCCAATGCAAATTTGTTCAGAATGGGGTGTACAACAAAATTTGTCGAGGCAATTTTTTCCCGATTGAGGCAAATAACAGACTTACTGAAGATGAATTAAATGTGGAGTCTGATAACTATTCATTGGAGGTGGAACAGTCTAGCTTACTTCAAGATATACCAAGTATGAGATTCGAATCCCTTGACTTTAATAAATTCATTCCTCCGAAACATTCGTTGCAACATGCACCTACTTTAGAACTTAAACCTTTGCCATCACATTTGAAATATACTTATCTAGGTAGTAATGATACTTTTCCAGTTATAATTTCTGGTAGTCTAACCCCAGAGCAAGAGGGTAGTTTGTTGAATGTTTTGTCATAGCATAAAAAACTCTTGGGTGGACTATAGCAGACTTCAAGGGAATCAACCCTACAATATGCATGCACAATATCCAGTTAGATGATTGCCACGACAACTCTGTGGAACCCCAAAGAAGACTTAATCCGATAATGAAGAAAATGGTGATAAAGGAAATCATCAAATGGTTAGATGTTGAAGTGATATATCCAATATCCAATAGCTCTTGGGTTATCTCGGTTCTAGACGTACCAAAAAAAGGTGGCATGATCATGATGAAGAACAAGAATGACGAGCTTTTAACTATGACAACCGTCACGGGATGGCAGATTTGTATGGATTATAGGAAGCTAAACAAGGTGACAAAGAATTACCATTTCCCTTTCCTTTCATAGATCGGATGCTTGATCGTTTGGTTGGTAAGGCATTTTTTTCTTTCTTGACGGCTATTATGGGTATAATCAAATCTTCATAGCACTAGAAAATCAGGAAAAAACCATCTTCATGTGCCCATATGACACTTATGACTTTAGGAAGATGACATTTGGATTATACAATGCCCCTGTAACTTTTCAGAGGTGTATGATAGCCATTTTTGAGACATGGTGGAGGACTTATT